GACTGCTTGCACCCAGGAGTTAGACGCTGCACTGAGCCATGACTGTGCCATTGTACTCCAGCCTGAGTGACAGAGTGAGACCCTGTCTCAAAAAAAAAAAAAAGGATTTTGTACATCCTTCCATATTTGCACAAATACATCTACCTCAAGTTAACTTTCATAAAATTCTATTGTGTGAACATTCTATGACTTATTTAACCATTGGACTATACATAATACCACAACAAACGGCTTTGTATATGTATGTATATATCTTTATGCACATGAGTGTTTATATAAAATGAATTCTTAGAAGTAAAATTTCTGGATAAAGAGCATGACTATTTAAAATTTTAAAGATATTGCCAAACTGTTGGGCTATTACTTTTAAGACATTACCAACTTATTTTTAGCTCTGAAATGAAATAATTTTATACTGCATTTATACTGATTATACAATTGTAGCGTCCTTGGAATTTACTTAGTTGAATCATGATTCCATATTTAATTGAATCTATGATGTCATCTTGTATAAAACATTCTTATTTTAGGTATGTTAAAAGTGAGAAAAATGTCCTCCTTATATTAGAAGGAAAAATGATTCCTAGCTGTCTTAGAAAATCATTAATCACTTCTACTGAGAAAGTAACAGACAACAGCAAATCAAATTTTTAAATTTACTAATTAAAAAGAGTACATTTCCAGAGTATTTTTATATATGATATGAAACATGTAATGGCAAACTGGACAAAGCTAGGGAATTATTCACATTAAGAAAGCTTTAGAAGGCCTGTAACATCTGGATAATTAGTAATTACAGAGCATGTTTTTCCCTGTCACAGGCATTCACAGCAACAGATCACAAAACAAATCAAGCCACTCAACTATTTTCTAACATGATAAACCTTGACCCATACACCAGTGTCAAAAAGAGATGGTCAGTTATCTATTAGCAAAGACTCTTATTGATAACAACAGGCAGCTCTCTTAACTGAATTTGACTCATTCAACACCACACAATTCATCTTGATCTTTGATAAAGAAGTCACTTCCAGAGTTCAGTCCCCAGACCCAAGTGACTTTGGACATCTCTCCCAGAAGCATGTGGAAGCTGGGTATCATTTTCCAGTACTCATGTTTGAGCTGAATAAGGTAATACGAATACTCCCCTAACATCCTGTTTTATTTTTGTTGTTTTGTTTGAGGTACCTAACTTCTCAAGAGATTAACATCAAGAGAGTCAGAATGACTTAAAATAAGATCACTTTTCATCTCAGGCATTAATTTGTGTTTTCTACATTTGAGACCATACTACGTGTATGGAGGTGCATCATGCCTGGAGGTGCAGGAAAAAGAAATATACTAATAAGGTAGTATACTTGAAATGTAAGCTCCCTCTTGGCTAAAGCACAAAGAATGGAATCAGGTCAGATAATCTAAACTCTGAATAAAGGTAAGTTCTTTATACTGTGTCTGAAATGTGAACACTAAGTCTATTTAGATTTAATTATGACTGGTTGAAATGTTATAGGTGTTAATAAGCCTCCATCAAATAAGAAAGGGTTTTATAATTACACTTACCAGCATTAATATAAAATCCTTCTTATGTAGCCATCACTTTATTCTGAATTGTTGCAATTTTTATTAAACATACCTTACATTCTTCAGCTATTTTTGCACATGACATGTAAATGTAACCTTTTCTATGACTGGAGTAGCAAACAGATATAAGTTCAGCTCCCATCAACCTCCACTACTTATCTGCCCCACCTCTGCAGCTGCTGCTGGTCTCTTCTCAAATGATCCTCCTGCCTCGGCCTCTCTGAGTGCTGGGATTACAGGTACGAGCCACCCCTGCTGATTTCTTATTCGGAGAAGCCAGAATTCTCAGAGACTCAATTTCTTTCACATCTTGAGTTTTCTTTCGCTATTTAGTTGAGCAATTCCTAATATACTGAAAAATTTGATTTTCACCCAAAGTCTATGCTTGCATCCTCTTTTCACGTTCCCCTCCTGATAGGATTGGAGGACCCTCATAGCTTTCAATATCTTCAAGGTTTTTTTTTTTTTTTTTTTGAGACGGAGTCTCGCTCTGTCGCCCAGGCTGGAGTGCAGTGGCCGGATCTCAGCTCACTGCAAGCTCCGCCTCCCGGGTTCACGCCATTCTCCTGCCTCAGCCTCCCGAGTAGCTGGGACTACAGGCGCCCGCCACCTCGCCCGGCTAGTTTTTTGTATTTTTTAGTAGAGACGGGGTTTCACTGTGTTAGCCAGGATGGTCTCGATCTCCCGACCTCGTGATCCGCCCGTCTCGGCCTCCCAAAGTGCTGGGATTACAGGCTTGAGCCACCGCGCCCGGCCTCTTCAAGGTTTTTAAATCACTTTTTCTCCCCTACTTTACCTCATTCTGGCCTACTTCTTGCTACTATCCTTTAAACACACACAGACACACAGACACACAGAAAAACTCCCAGTGAGATGAACAGACAATTGTTAAAACTCTCCAGTACACCAGCACCTAGCCAACAATCTCCACAGTCAGCTGACTAGTATCTGATCCACAGCATACACTTTCTAATACTTGGGATAATCAAAAAGCAAAGGTGCAAAAGAGCAGGGACTACAGATTACAGCTGGGTTTTAACAGGTGAAGCTCAAAATTTTATAGTACTAAATAAGCTCACAAAAAACTTTTTCACATTTGATTGGGTTGGATATAGAATGTTGAAAATCACCCTTCTGGATCCTTAATAATCCTTTATTACATGCTGTAAAAACAAAGAAAAAGGAAGGTAAAACACACACACACACACACACACACACTCACTCACTCACTCCCAGAAGGCCAGGGATGAAAGCTGTGAAGGCTAAAATCCCTTCTGGACAGGTTGGAGCATGCTGCTGCTGAACCTGAGCTCCAGCCTCAAAAGGCAACACTAGGTGGCTGGAAAATCAGGCTTAGGTGATTGGCAACAAAGGGGAGCACCTGAATGCTTTGCTACTTCCAGCCCTCCCTTTCTCTAATCCATTCCTTAACTAGTAACTACAACGTGTTTTGGTTTTTTTTTTTTTTTTTGAGATGGAGTCTCACTCTGTCACCCAGACTGGAGTGTAGTGGCGCGATCTCGGCTCACTGCAAGCTCCGCCTCCCGGGTTCACGCCATTCTCCTGCCTCAGCCTCCCGAGTAGCTGAGACTACAGGCGCCCACCACCATGCCTAGCTATTTTTTTTGTATTTTTAGTAGAGACGGGGTTTCACTGTGTTAGCCAGAACGGTCTCGAACTCCTGACCTCAAGTGATCCACCCACCTTGGCCTCCCAAAGTGCTAGGATTACAGGCGTGAGCCACCGCACCTGGTCTACTAGTAAATACTTCTATTCTCTTCTTTCTGCAAAATATCTGTTTAGTTCTTATATATGGAAGGCCCTGTGCCAAGGCACTTCGGTCTATAGCTGGAGTGAGCTACTAAAACAAATACAAATCTGATGATGTTACTGCTCTGCTGAAAATCCTTCAGTGACATTCAAGATCCCACAAGATCTGGTCTCTGGTAATCCTTCTAGCCTCATCTCCCACCTCTTTCTGGCCGTTGCAGTCTAAGTTCTGAACACTATTTCCCTGGCTAACTCTTGTCTGTCTGCCATGACTCAGCTTAGATGTCTTGTTCTCTGAGCAAGCCTCTCTTGATCACTCAAGACCAGTTTAGGTATAAAATTACAACCTCTATTTTTTTTCCCCTGACTGAACACTTCTCATCCTTTTCTCCTTCTGTGTGTGAAAATATCTATCTAGTAAAACCAGCTCACAAAATAGCTGATGCAGCTCTTCAACTGTGTCCTTTCCTCATTTTCTCTAAAGCAGTTTTTGAGAGGATGTGATATAGACTGTGTTTTTCAGTTCAAGAAAACGTTAAGGCAACCTTGGTCAGTACAAAGAAGACAAAAATCTGAAGAAAATAAATAATATCTCCATTAGTCTTTTTGCTTAATTCTGCCACTTCTTAAAACAAGAAATGTGCCGCAGAGACTACTCTTGGTGCAGTGGACGGGAAGTGGGTGTCGGAAAGGCCTGCTGCACCACACATGCTCTAGGGATCTATCAGTCGCTCCTCTGCTTATCAAAGCTGCACACCTGGTACTGGCCGCCAGGTGGTCCCAAGCACAGTGCAAGCAGGAGTATGCTCCTGCTGCCAGACAGGCACACCTTGCTCCTTCCCTTCCTGTGGGTACTTTTTGGGTTAGAAGAAATAACTAATCTGAAATTTCACTGAGAGTTTTCTTTCAGCTCCATCAATTAAGAGAGACTACTTACGCAATAGCTCTAGCTCTGGCAAACACAGAAGGGCCTGCCTCTTCCAATAGAATCCACTGAGCTCTCCCAGTACCACCCACGAGACCCAACCCTCCACTTTCTTATTTACTTATTTATTCACATGGCCTTTGTGCTTGTATGCTTGTCTGGTCTCTTCTTAAACTGTTAAATTCCTTGAGGGCAGAACAGTCTTTATTTTTTTTGAGACGGAGTCTCACTCTGTCACCCAGGCTGGAGTACAGTGGTGGGATATCAGTTCACTGCAAGCTCCACCTCCCGGGTTCAAGTGATTCTCCTGCCTCAGCCTCCTGAGTAGCTGGGATTACAGGTGCCCACCACCATGCGCCACTAATTTTTGTATTTTTAGTACAGACGAGGTTTCACCATGTTGGCCAGGCTGGTCTCAAACTCCTGACCTCAAGTGATCTGCCCACACCTCAGTCTCCCAAAGTGCTGGGGTTACAAGCGTGAGCCATGTCGCCTAGCTGGAAACAGTCTTAGGTACTGTTCCATTTCCAGCAAATTACTGAGTACCTACTATACCTGACACATAGTAGGGTACAAAATAAATGACTGGTGAATGAGTTAATATAGACTTGTTGGTGCCTCATGGAGGGGGAAAAAGAAACAAGTATTGGAAGCTCTCAGGATACACAGTTCATACTATTGTTAGGAAAACGATTCAGCTGGTCATTCTGCGGCTTCTCCTCACCTGATCGATATCGTTCATCCCTGGCTCCCCCGGATCGAGTTCGGTGGTACTTAGAGGGAGCAGAAGTTTGAGCTGTAGATGGAGCAGGTGTCTGGTTTCTAAGTTCTTTCTGTACTGCTGAATCAGTTTCTAAAAAAGGAAGTTTAAAAGATGGTTATCCAGTAACAGTAATAGCTAACATTTTCTAAAGCCCTTTAAGCATTCCCACAACACTCTGAGCTAGGTACTATTACCCCATTCACAGCAAAGGGCTAGAGAGTTTTAATATAAATACATAAATATGATGCAAAGACATCCAAACTAAAAAATACCATCGTAGAGCCTTAAATGTCAACAGGCTGATAAGAGAGGAATAGCCAGAAGACAAATGTAAATTAAAAGGCCATTCCAGAGACTCCAAAGAGAGGCAGTAGTGATGGGGAGCTGACTGCATATGACCCCCAACCCTGAACAGTGAGACAACGAATAGCTTGGGGATACCGTCAGTCACTCCAGATAAACATAATTCAAGCAAAAACAGGGAGATTATGCAAGCACAGCTTCAAGCCTATTAGCCCCTCTTCCAACTGCACTCATCGCTGACCCTGTCCTGTCCCCATACTCTGCCCTCCCAAAATATACTGTCTTATCAAGAATATAGGGATGGGGTAAACAAACAGAAAAACACTAAGTTCTGATGTTTTCCTGCCTTTTTATCTCAAATGATTAATTCCAAATTTGTTTCTTAAAAAAATTACAATAAGAAAATTTAACATGAGATGTACGTTTTTAACAAAATTTTGAGTGTAAAATACAGTAGTATTAATATCTTACTAGTATTAATAAGGCACGGTGTTATAAAGCAGAACTTACTAACCTTGGATAACTGAAACTTTATACCTGCAGAACAGCAATGTCTCATTTCCCGCTCCCTATATCCCCCGACAACCACCATTCTACTCTCTGCTTTTATGAGCTTGACTCTCTTAGATATCCCATATAAGTGGAATCATGCAGTATTTGTTCTTCTGTGACTGCTTTATTTCCCTCAGCATAATGTCCTCCAGGTTGTCACATATTGCAGGATTTCCTTCTTTAAGGCTTATTTTAAGTTTCTGAAATAGCACCTGGTTATGCCCAGCAAGACAGCTTCCGCACAGCAAATTAAGTGCCCAATATATTAAGATGTCATCTACACAGCAAATGTACTGCTCCAGACCCCAGCTCAGAATCAGCCTATAAAGCCAAAAAATTAAGCCGGGGGGGTGGGGGGGAAGACTCAAAGCAGTGGTCTGGGGAGTACAAGCAACAGTGCCACACACCCCAGTAAACACTGATGGCATCAAAGTATTACAGGAACTGAGATTCATAATGACAATGTTTTATCACTTAAAAAGAAAACAAAAAAGCAGGTAGCATGCTGGAAAGGTCATGTGTTGGGGCTCTAGTCAATAGTCCTGGCTGAGCCCAGCCCTTCACCTGCCCTGTCAAGGCAGCAAACATTTGAATGAGCCATCTTAGACTGTCCAGAGCAGCCCATCTACTACGTGAGGGGGAAGACAACCACTGAATGACCCCAGCTGGCAACCATATAGAGCAAAATAGTCACCCTGCCCAAATTCCTGGCCCACAAAACCATTATTTCTTTAAATGGTTCACACACACACACACACACACACACACACACACGGAAGAGTATATTTTAGGGCCTTCTCCACTAATGTGCTTTTAAGGATCTGGAAATGCTGTTTTTGATGGTTCCTCTTAACTGAGCTTTTCATTAGAAAATATATTAACTGAGCAGAAAATGTTTCAGAAACAGATTTTACAATGTCTGGGATTATAACTGAAGTTTTAATCAACCTAAATTCTCTTCAGAATCTATTTCACAGAATAGCTATACTAAATTCTTAACATTTTCCATACCTTGTTACATTTTCTAGTTTTACCAATCAAAAGTAAGAAAGACTCTGTCTCAAAAAAAAAAATTTGTGGAGATTTAGTCCCACCTTGGCTCACTTGCAAGGGCAATGATTTATCATGAATGGAGGCAGAAAATGAGCAGCTGGGCAACATAGCAAGACCCTGTCTCTTAAAAAAAAATTAGCTGGGCATGGTAGTGCACATCTGTGGTCCCAACTTCCTGGAGGCTAAGACAGGAGGATCACTCGAGTCCTGGAGGTCGAGGTTGCAGTGAGCCGTGATCACACCATTGCCCTCCAGCGTGGGGAACAGAGCAAGACCCTGCCTCAAGAAAAAAAGAAAATGCTGAAAGCAAATGCAGTAAAATATTAACAGAAGTTATCCTGGGTGATGAGAGTTTGGATAATTTACATATTTTTCCACAGGTTTTACAAGTTTTCTGTAATTTAGAAAAGCTCTTTTTCTGAATGTAAAATTGATGTTCACCACAGGACATCAAGAAAATAGCTAACTATAAAGAATAAAATTTAAATTATATCAGATTTTCTTAATTATAAGGTCATAACCATGTACAACAGATCCCTACCCAAAATCAGTTAAAACAATATTTACTTGTCAGCTTCCTAAATTACGACACTGAGTAGGCTTTTCCAACTTCCTATTTTTATTTATTTATTTATCTTTTGAGACAAAGTCTTGCTCTGACGCCCAGGCTAGAGTGCAGTGGCACAACCTCTGCTTACTGTAACCTTCACCTCCTGGGCTCAAGCGATTCTCCTGCCTCAGCCTCCTGAGTAGCTGGGATTACAGGTGCCCACCACCATGCCCAACTAATTTCTTTTTGTATTTTTAGTAGAGACAGGGGTCTCACCATGTTGGCCAGGCTGGTCTTGAACTCCCAACCTCCAGTAATTTGCCCGCCTCGCTCAGCCTCCCAAAGTGATGGGATTACAGGCGTGAGCCACCACTCCTGGCCAGCTTTTCCAACTTTCTAAAAATCAATGACTTCCTTTTCCTTTCCCTGAAAGCAACTGACAAATCCATGCATATTTGGGAGTAAGAGGGAGAAATGTACGTCCTGGTTAGATTTTAAAAATTGTGTTGACTAGGTCAGGCGCGGTGGCTCACACTTGTAATCCCAGCAATTCGGCCAGAAGGCCGAAGTGGGCAGATCACCTGAAGTCAGGAGTTCAAGATCAGCCTGGCCAATATGGCAAAACCCTGTCTCTACTAAAAATACAAAAATTAGCGGGCATGGTGGCATGCACCTGTAGTCTCAGCTACTTGGGGAGGCTGAGGCAGGAGAATCACTTGAACCCAGAGGCAGAGGTTGCAGTGAGCTGAGATTGTGTCACTGCACTCTAGCCTGGGTGACAGAGCAAGACTCTGTCTCAAAAAAAAAAAAAAAAAAAAAGTGGAGATTTATTCCCATCTTGGCTCACTTGCAAGGGCAATGATTTATCATGAATGGAAGCAGAAAACAACATACAGGTTGAACACCCCAAACACCCAAATCCAAAACTTTTTGAGCTCCTGTCTAATGCTCACAGGAAACGTTCCTTGAAACATTTCTAATTTCCAATTTTCGGATTTCAGATGTTCAACTGGTACATAAGGTAAATATTCCAAAAATTTTTTAAAAAATCTGAAATCTGAAACACTTCTAGTCCCAAGCATTTCAGATATGGGCTACTCAACCTGTATCTCAGGCCTCATCAAAAAGAGGAGGGAAGGAGTGTGGGGGCATGGGAGGACAGCAGGGCATTATTTAACAGCATATGTAATATCAGCTGGGCAGGCAAGATGCTGCCTCAAGGTAAATCATTCCCTGAACCACGGTTTCACACTCCAACTAGATCTCAGAAATTACCTGGAGTACTGAAATACAGATTACTGTGTTTTGAATAAGATATACACAGTTTAACTGCCATGGTAAGGAACAGCTAAAAGCAAAGATGAAACTTAACTACATGTATCAACATAATGAGATACTATATGCCATTAAAAATGAAAAATATGTAGACTATGCAGATACTTCATTCCAAATAAAGTAATGCCAAGTGATAAAAGAACACAAAATATTGTGTACACAATATAATTATAACTGTATGTAAAAACTATTTATATACAATTATAAGGGTCAGGTGGGACAAAAAAAAAATCCCTAATGTATTTGGATTGAGGTACTCTCTATTTCTTTACAATTTCATTGTTCTGCTTATAGAATGAATTATGCATAAAACCAAAGACAAATACAAATATGTGCTGGAATGGAAGCTGCCAGACTCACAAATTAAGTCTTCTTCATGACATCTAAATTCTAGCATAAAATAAAATAGAGATCCAAAGAAAAAGACAACTTGCTGATTATTACAAAGCAAGAGCTTCAGGTGGGGGGTTTCTGATCTTTCAGTCTGTTATGCAGAACATCCACTAGGGGTCACCATTATGTTTAAATAGTGATGATGTTAAAAGGTTTAGTAACAATAAAAAGTACACATTTTAGGTTCAAAAACAGAAAGCCTTCCTTCTCAATGACCAACATGTATATAATTTATTGTTCCTTGGCAGAAAAATACATCAGAGTCTAGTATGTTTCTATTGTTTGAATATGGTAAGGATGATAATCTGAAAAAAATGGTATTTAGTAGCACAAAACTACACAACATTTCCACTCAGGAAGATGGAAGGAAGCCACCAGCCTCCACATGTTATCTTTTAACTCTGCTTATGATTTAACAGATATTCTCACCTGCAAGAGTAACACAGTGAAACAGGATGGGCTCTGAGAACAAGGAACCTAATAGTTCAACTTCCGGGAGTTGAACAGAGCAGACATGCCTGGACACATGCCTTGGTGCTAGTGTCCAGAGAAGAAACACATTAAACAAGTGGTCACCATGTGTATACCTTTGACCTTGTGACACATGCTAAGAAGGAAAAGAACAAGGGTCTCTTAATCCACATAATGGGGATTTAACTTGTATTAGAATTTCAGTGAAGATGAATGTCTGTTAAAAGGAGACAGTGATGCAAAACTTAACTAGGCAGAGAGAAGGAAAAGCCACTTCATTCAAAAGCATGGTGTTTGTAGAAGCCCAGTGAAGGAGAAAAGCCTTAAAGTCTAAGACCAGTGGGGCTAAAGATACAGCAAAAGGGTAGAGTGTTACAAAATGAGACTGGACTAGAAAAGTGGCATCAAGTCACTTGCCCTAAGCCGAGTGGGC